GTTCATAGTCTGTCATATTGATCAGTTTTAATATTTTATCTTCAAATTTGATCGTAAAATGATCTGCATCTTGTGTTGAGCTAATGCCCAAAAAGGTCAATAACAGTGTAACCACAAGTTCAACTGTAGACATTCTGATGCAGTTGTGATTCTATACTAAATAATCTGAAATAAATAAAAACTGCTACTTTATATAACAAATACCCAACTTCACACGTTTTAAATTGTATCTAATCTTGAAGAAAGGTGCAAACTAATTATTGGCAACTATTACACTAGACGATTTGGACGACAAAACCTTAGCCGTTCTCAAGTACCTCACGATTAGGTTCACCGATAGAAACACTAATGGCGTCGCTGGCTGGGCACATTTGCAAACTGACGGCAAGTGCGCTTGATACATGGCTAAGAAAACATTTTGTTTAAAGTACCACAATCGAGAGCACTTGTATTTGATTGCTTTTGTCAAATTAAATTTTTGAATTTTAAAATCACTTTGGCCATCTACCGGTAGAAAAACTTACTAAACGGCTAAAGTGGCAATAGTGGTTCTATACTATTGCTACTCATACGGGCTTTTTTTCTGCCCAATATTTTTTTTGAGTAGCAAAAACATCGTTGTCGTCATCGTTTTCAACTTCATTTCGGCGTTCTCAGCGGACCAATTTCTGTCAATCCTCTTTTTTCTTCTGTGAAATACCGACACGATGGGTCTCACAATTTCCAGTCTATTTACTCGCCTTTTCGGCAAAAAGCAAGTCCGAATTTTGATGGTTGGACTAGATGCAGCTGGTAAAACTACCATCTTGTACAAGCTGAAGTTGGGCGAAATTGTGACCACCATTCCAACAATTGGCTTCAACGTTGAAACGGTGGAGTACAAAAACATCAGTTTTACCGTTTGGGATGTCGGTGGCCAGGACAAAATTCGACCTCTGTGGCGCCACTATTTCCAAAACACCCAAGGCCTCATTTTTGTGGTGGACAGCAACGACAGGTGAGACGGGACTACAGATGACTTGTTGGGATTGACAATTTACAACTAACCGATTTGTTTGTTTTAATCAGAGAGCGTATCGCCGAAGCCGCAGATGAGCTGCAACGGATGCTGAATGAAGATGAACTTCGCGATGCCATTTTGCTGGTTTTTGCAAACAAGCAAGATCTTCCGCAAGCGATGCCTGCAGCCGAGCTGACAGAACGCCTAGGTCTAAACAATTTGCGTGGCCGCCGCTGGTATATTCAATCCACTTGCGCCACCCAGGGACAGGGTCTCTACGAAGGTCTCGACTGGCTCAGCAATGAAGTGGCCAAACTTGGTTGAGCAACTCTCTCGCTCTCTCTCCCACCCTTTAGTCACGGCCATTATTATTGAAATTTGATTAAACACTTTTATATTTTTATATTTATTTCTCTAACGATTCACTGCTTCTTTACTTTACTCTCTCCCACTTCACCACACGCTATATTCCCAAGATAGAATGCTGTATATAATAATGAGTCCAACTTTGCCGCACCAATAAAGGTTTTCATGTAATGATCAGAGAGGAGGAGGAGGAGGAGAAGGGGCGGAAATCGGTGACTAACGATACCGTCGGCATTGCCCCTGCCTGCCCGGCTAGAGTGCGCCCAGTGCTCTCTGCTCACACTTTGATTTCGCTGATTGCCGGCGGAAGGTAGTGGCGGGCGGGCAGGCTGGCTGACAGTGTGCGGATCCGGTGCAACTTAAAGAGCTCTCTTGGTTGGACTAATTAATTAAACATTGCTTTAAGAGGCCCGAAGTACACGTCGGTGTAAGGAGGCGAGTGGAAACGCCGTCTGTCGGCGGGAATAAAGAGTGACAAAGTTGCGTAAAAGTTGTGTCCCCTGTACAGCGCGCAAGCGATGTAGTGAAAAACAGTGAGTGGGAGCGGCCTATTGCAGTGAAGCCTGCATTCATATGCACTGTCTGCTGTATCAATTACACAAGTAACAAACTGTATTAGAACTCCAACCAAACCAATTTTATGTAATTCAAAATTGCTTGATTAGTTAGTTTGCCAAAAAATATTCTTACTTTAAGATTGGACTGAGAAATCTGTTTTTACATAAGGTTTTTTACAGAAAATCTACATAGAGTTGTGCCCTGCAGATTTGCGTTGTATTGGGCAAAACATCAGATTTTTGGGTTTTACTCTAAAATTACACTATTTTTTTAGCAAACTAACTAAACAGACTATTTTAAATCAGATAAAATTTGCTTGCATGACGATCCAGGAAATCTTCCGGTTCGTATCATTTTTCAGTTTTTAGGTATATTTCTCCGAAATGACAAGTTAACAAAACGTTGCACTGTAACGTTGGCTGTACTAAACGCAGGCTTCACTGCAACAGGCCTCGCCCATTCACTGTTTCTCACTACATCGCTTGCGCGCTGTAGTCCCCTGCGACGACGACGACGACGAAGAAGAAGAAGAAGAGGAAGACAACATGTCAATTCGGGGATTGCGGATAAGCGGAGAGGACTGAGAGGATGAGGACGAAGACGTTGGTGACAGTGTGGCTGATGGTGGTGGTCGTAGCAGTGCTGCTCGCTGCTGATGGTCTTCACTACTCTATGGAAAAGTGCGTGGGGCAGGTCGTCAGTGCCGTCGTTCTTCACTGCCACTGGAGGCTGCATGCTAGTAGATGCTGTTGCTGCTGGTAGAGAGCAGTGTCGAGTCGCCGCCAGAATGCTTCAGCAGTTAGGGCAAGAGTGGTTGTGGTGGTGGTGTTTTAAAGCACACTGCAAAACGTGAACGCTCAAAAGGAGGGCAAAATTTGAATTCACAAGTACTGCTGGTCGCTGCCAGAACTAGTTTTCTTTGATGACTGCTATTACATTTGATGGTGAATGGTGGCTGTGGTAGTGGCGATGGTTAATTGACGGTAGTGGTCGAACGTGAGCGAGCATAAATTTCAACAGGAGCAACTATCTACTGAATCAGTAAGCAGTGTTCTTATCTGTGGCGAAGCGAGCAAATTGTTTATTTTTTTTAAAAAAATTAGAGTGTTATAAAAACAATGTACAGTTAATGTGTGTTGTTGAGTGTAAATTTGTCATTTAAATAATCAAACAAGTCCTCTTGATCGGCTAAAAAGTCTTGATGGACAACTTCTAGTTCAGAAACATCTGTTAACTGTAATTTGAACTTTTCCCAAAAGTTACTTCTCAGCTTTTCAAGTTTTGGATCTGATTTTAAAATGCCGAGTATTCGCGGAAGAATGTAAACAGTCGCATCTTTTGTGTTTGAAAACCTAACGTTGGAATTAGGTAAAAGGTTGCCACTACCATCACTCCACCACCAAGTTGTTGCTTTTTCATGTCTAATAAAAATATCAAGAAAAGACAATTCTGATACTGACAATTCACTAGGCAATTTTAGTTTTGAGTTTGATTTTTTAGAACAATCGAAGTCATCCCAGAGTTTAATAATTTTTTTGGCGGCTTCTCTTTCATTTTCCGGTTTTTCCGAATCAGTGCTTATTTTTTTGAATTCGTTGATGTTTTTCTTTGCAGCAAGATGTCTTAGTGCTCTACTTTTTGTTTCTATCCCCATTTTGGTGTTGCCAATAGTGCAAAAATACTCGCCAGCTTTCTTTAAGGAATTTGTATAATCGACACTAAAATGATTACTTCTAATCTCCATCCAGTCGGGGCTGTTTTCTAGCTCTTTCATTTGGTCTGTCATTATGAGATAACTCATATGCGCTTCTTTCAGGTGGTAATTAGCATATTTTTCAGAGTCGGTTTTAAAATCGCAATATTTGCATTTAAAAATGCCTTTTTCCTTTTCATCATTTTTAAACCGAAGTTTTGGTTGATCGTTTGTGTTACTTCTATGCGATTGTATGTGATTTCGACACTCGTTTTCATATCTAAAGTTCATATCATGAACTTTTTCAAGTGGGCATATGAATGGCGCAGCAACTGGATCTTTTAGTGTGTCAAGAATAGCGGGAGTTCCTTGCGCAATTGATGTTAAGTGGTGGATAAATGTTTTGTGTTGGTGGATCCGAAAATAAATTTTACTTGAAAATACAATGTGGCAAACTGTGCAATAGTGTAAAAAACGTCCTTCACTGCTTTCTTCGTGGTTTTTTAAATCGGATATAGTGTAAAATGTTTTATCACAAGAAGAACATTTATCTAAAAGATAAATTTATGCTATTATTAGATTATTATAAAATAATTTAAAACTTACGTTGTGAATCGCAAGTATTTGTTTTTTCGTAATGCTGCAAAAAAATGTTTTTTAAAAACTATATTTTCAATGAACTAATAAAGTTACCGAATTTTCTCTTTTTGATAATTTATTGATGAACTTTTCAGGGACTTCTAGTATTAAACCACTAGATGTACTCGATAAAGGGTTTTTGCCAATATATTGCACTTTAGAATTGCCAATTATTAGTCTGTTGAATAAGTGATTTTCAAACGCTGCTTCGAACATATTGATTTTAAGCTGAGCAATGATTTTACGCTGCGGATTTGTTATTTGCAAAACAATATTGTTTATTAAAGAATAAATATGCTTTAATAGATCATGCAGTCCAAAAACTGTTGGGTCTTCTGGGTTTCTCAGTTTTTCTAAATATGAACTTATTTCTTTTCAAATATTTAAATTTTTATTAAAAACTAAAATTAAATAAAATGCTTAAAAAATTACCTTTTATAATTTTTTCTTTCAGTGCTGGTATCGAAGAAAGTTTAGTTTTCTAAAAAAAGCATATTTAGTTTTTGTTAGAATAAATGCAAAATTTACTTACCAAAAAGAATTCAATTGTATTTGCAAGATTAAGTTTATCAATTTTTTCTTCAAATTTAAAATCAACTTTTTCAAATGGAAAAATGACAAATTTGTTTTCGAAAAGTCTGTAAAAAATTTTGTTATTAAAAACGTTAAGACGTGTTTTTTCTTTAAGCCATTGAAACGCAGAGTTCATATATTGTTTGCCATTATTCTTGTTTCGTTCAAACAGAGGTGAAGAAAGTGTTAAAATTACACCAAATTTTCCAATTTGGCGTATTCCACTGTCGATGTTGATATCAGAAACAAATTGCAATGTTTCTTTTGACAAAATGTTTTGGACGTATTTTCTCGGGTCTTCCTGATCAACACAAAGTTTATGGCCAAATTGATATAGATCACCGGGTCGAGCGTTCATTGTTAGGTTAGTATGAGTATAGATTGTTGCAAATTCATTATAAGCACAGGCGGCATAATTGTTGCAACTGTGAAATGGAACAACTAGAATTTTCGTCTTTTGGTCTTTTAGCAATGATTTGGCCAAAAAAAAGTGCAATGGTTGTATCCGGTTTTTCCCGTAGAAAACCAAAACTTTGCCTGTTGATATTACATGGTCAAATGGGCGTTTGGCTTGACCACTGCCAATATACACTAGGTGGTTTCGAAGAAGATTAAATTCATTTTTGTCAATAGTAATTTTGGTTTTCCAGTCAGTATTTTTTAATTTTTTCAAAACTGGCCATAGTTCAGTAGTTACAGCAAACACAAAGTAGCTTTTGTAAGACTCCACATTGTAAATTTTTCTCATTTCTTTAGTCATACCACTTCCGATAAAATGAGAAGGTCCTTTAAAAGTTTCCAACACCGCGTTAATTTTATGTTGAGAAGTCTTTTTTTGTGATTTCATAAAATCTTCACTGTTCATATTGTTATCAGACTTGAGAATTTCAAGCTCATTGTTGCCGCTGTAATCTTGGTAGCCATTTTCATCAGCATTAAAATGCGGTATCAATTCCTCAATCTGATAGCCATAGTGATTTTTGGTAATATCTTCATTTGCAAGTGTTTCTAAAAGACCTGCGACGGAACTAGGCACTTCTGGATCGTTACAGTGTTTGGCCGTAAAAGGAGCTTTACGCCTATCAGAATATTTAGACTTTGTTGATTCTCCATCAATAGCAAAAACCAAACTTAAAAAAACTAGAAGTAGTGTTTGGTTCATTGTGACAAGCTCTAAAAAACAAAAAAAACTGTGTTAACTTTTAATTAAATTAAAATTGAGATCAATCCCAATTAATTTTTATAAAATAAAAAATTGATTTTAGTGTCATTGTAAACAACTCACCTTGTAAAAAAAGTGAAACTTAAAAATTAAAATTTTGATGAAAACTGGACAAAGTTTGCGTTTAATAAAACACTGTTCATAGATTATTGTTGCGTAAAATGGTGAACATTTAGTAGATGCGATTCAAGTATTTATAACGTGCAAGTACTGCGCACTTGTTGTTATCTAGTGTTGCTATAGAAATTTTGATAAAATAACTTTTAATTTTGT